GCGGCCCCCGGACGCGGGAGCGGGAGCGGCTCCTCTTTCTCTTAAGGGGAGCCCCCTCGTTGAGGTCTGTGGGGAGCGGCCTTCTCCGCTCGTCCGGGGAAGAGGGCTGGGCGATCCGCTAGCGCTGGGAGGAGGCAGGATACAGCGACCCCCGAGGTGCAGCGCGGGGGCCGAGGGGATCCGCCGTGCCTGGGGACAGGAGAAGATGGTAACCAGGCGGCTCGGGTAACCGAGTAACGTATGTTAGCACCGTCTCCTCTTCCCCACCCCTGTCGGTTAAATGGTGTCTCGGAGCCAGCGCTAGCCGCCGTGGCTCTTCTCCCCCCCTCTCTTTCTCTGCCTCTCCCCAGTCTCCTGAGCCGCACAATGTTTGCTGCGCAGTTCAGATTCAGTGCTTTGGTTACACAGCTCCGAAGGGGGAGGGGGACCCATTACAGCGAAGCATTTCAGTGTAACACATCGGCCATTTATTTACCTCCACCTCACAACTCTCCTTTCCCTCCACCCGCTATTCTCTCACCGCGATTGCCCCTCCTGAGAAAAGCTAACGTTGGGATCCTGGGTGGGAAACGGGATCTGAATCCTGGTTGTTTTTTGTGTGTACGTTGTCCCAGGGCCTAGTGCAAAAATGTCAATTTGGACATAATCAGGGCATCACCATTGTCTAAAGGGCTGAGAATTCACCGAGGTGGGATTTCCCCCTCTAATAGAGACTCAGCACTAGCGTTTCTGTTAGGGTTTTTTTGGAGGGAGAATGGTTCCTTCGTCACTTAGCTCTGTAACTGTTGCCATATTAATTAGCTAGATTTGTGTGTGCAGAGTATTTGCTGGGGTATTTTTAAAGAAAAGATGGGGGTGGCATTGAAGAAGACATTTTGCATGTCTTATCTGGTGGATTGGATTTAAATTTTTTTATGCGGTGCTTATGACATCTCTGGCATGATAAAGGGAACATCTGTGATGCCTTTTAGATATACAAATATCTTCAAAATAAAAAAGCTTAATTGTTAGCTGAATGTCTTTTGTTTCTGAGTATCTGAGATGTTACAATAGAAGCAAGATGTATTTACAATAGTTACATTATGTTTTGATTGCATAAAAACACTAAACCGTCTTACAAATAAAATAAAGAATTTAAAATTAAGTATTTTAAATTCTCCATATCTCTCTTCTCCTCCTTTTCTTTTTCTCCTTCTTCCTGTCCCCACCACCACCACCACACATTGCTAAGAGAGAAATGTTGTGTATGTAACCAAAGGATTTGATGTCTTATGCCCAGTTATTGAGTTTGTGAAAACCTTTACAGATCTTCGGTAATTAGTCAATTAAAATGATTTCTTTGATAAACTTGTAGTTTTAAAATTATTTGGTCCTTTTATGTGATGCACACTAAATGCTTTTATCTCCCAATGTGTATAATGTAAAAATTTTTTCTAACTTCTCCTGGGTTGATGTAGAAAAAAGCAGCTAAAAATAATAATTTAGTAAAAGAGAAAAATTACACAGTTATAGATTAACTGCTGTGATTATTCAGTCTTCAGATTCTGCTAATAATTATAAATTGTTCCAGTTGTACTAATTTGTTAATGATATGAGCAGAAACTTTTTCAGTTAGAATGTCAGGCTGTCCTCACATTACATATTTGAGCTCTTTGTACTCTGAAATTCCTGGACTAGTTATTTACTGTTGTTTACCACATGATGAAGGAACTATAACAACATCAAGTTTCACTGTGGTTGAACCTTAGTGATCCCCCCCCCTTCCACTTTCTGTGCTGCTGCTAATAAGTCTGACTTCACTGCAATTTGATTGTAAATTGTTGAGTGTTATGCCAGTTTTATTCTAAAATTTAGAGCACATGCTTGTCTCTTTTTCTGGAAGTCTAAGAGATTGAACTATGAAAGTTAACAGGAAGTACTCCAATCGCTTCCATGAGAGTTGGACTGTAAGTACAGAGGGTAGTCAATGAAGTAAATAAAATAGTACAAAATATTAAAGCTTTAGAGAATGACATTATGAAAATACATCACTGATTTATATTTGTATTACTACCTTTAGATGTGGTCACCCTTTTAATAAAGAAGTGAGCAGTACAAAATTATTAGTAAAAGGCTTTCATATGAAAGGAAATATATAATATTGGGATCTAGTTTAGTAAGCAAAGGCACAAATGTGGTGATGTATAAAATAATTAATGGTATTTATTTGCCTTAGGCCATAATATAGAAGCAAGGGGATTCTTAGATATGCAAATACAAAATAAAGTTTTTAATGCATTGTACTGTTTATCTGTAGAACTCCTTGTTGGTTAATGTTATTGAGACAAATGACATTGTTAATGTATGCAGATTAGACTTTTTATATGTTGTTGAATGCGATATGTATATATGATGCTTTACAACCACAAAAGTGAACTTGAGTAATAAGTAAAGGTTATACTTCCTGCTACAGGAAATAAATGGATCCCTAAGTGGAATAAAAAATAAATGTATCTCTTGGGACATTTGGATAAGTTCCTTATAAAGCTTTGCCCTACAAGTACAACCATGCCAGTGCTTCATGTGTGACTTGACATGACACAGTTATGGGCATTTGTATTCTGACATTTTGTATTTGAAGTGGCGATGTTAAATAGCAGTTAGTAAGCTAATTGAGTAGTTGAGGGGGTTCACACTGGCTCTGCTTTTTAGATATACTAAGAGCCACCAGGCTCTTACTACGCTTAAAAGGCAGAGTTGTAGCAGTCTAGGACTGGGCACAAGCCGGGACAGCTGGGTCCTGGCTTATGCCCAGTTCCTGATAATGCAGCCCTGCTTTTTGTCCCGGTTCATACTGGGTCCCTTGCTGTGCCTCTGCCTCCCTGTCCTCTCTGATACAGTCAGTAAGGGGCGGGGGTAGCGACTAGTCGAGTAGTGACTTGACTAGTCACTTACATCCCTAACTTACAGTGTGAACAGGACACGATGTAGTTTGGTCATGATATCTCCACATTATAAACTATTAAATAGCAGAAGTTGGTAACCAATGAGGTCTTTTTTGTTTGTGGTGTGAAAAGATCATCATCATACAAATAAAATCAAATAAGCCTGTTCCAGCATAGGTAACTGTGAAATATAGTTGTGAGGTGGTAAAGGCTATAATGGTGATGGGTCCTTTCATCTTCATCTGAAACTTGGGCAGATTCATTTCAGAGACAGGATGCTGGACTAGATGGATTTTTTTTGTTCTGTGCTTAAATATTTCCACATTTCCTATGCAGTTTCATTTTTCACTAATAGAAATAATGACTATATTTTGTGGAAGAAAACAAGGTTAGACCCATATCTAAAAATTCTTGCTCAGTACACAACTTAAAATTATTTCCATGAGAAATGGCACAGAAGAGGTTTTCCCCTTTGTTTGCAAAAAGCAGCTGTACACTTGTACATGTTGTTTGTGTCCTAGTCACTGGGTATAATCCGTTGAAATCCAGGGGTTATGTCCTGAACCAAGTTCTTAATGGAATTGGGGATCCTATCTTGTAAATCGCAGGTATATCTTGCAAGTGTGATTTTTTGAGTCTATCTGTATTTTACCAAGTTAAAATCTGCTTTACCTTCCTGAGAATTTTTACTTAGGCCTCATTTACACCTAAATCTGCTAGAGATGTAAAACTCTGGTTAAAAATATAACTGTGTAATTGCTAAAAAAACCATAGTGGTAACAGGCACTATGGGCTCTTCAGTATAAAGCTTAAATACTTTAAGCTTTATACTGCATAGTCCACGCAAAGCCATCTTTCTGGGAGTGGGACTGGCAAGGGGAGCCAGCGTGTAACCTGCAGCAGGAGGAGGAGTGGCTTGGCCTGCCATGGACACCCATTAAGGCTAAGGCTTACCTGTTACCACATCCCTAAAATCTATATTGGCATAACAAAAGATGTGTGTTTAAAATTGATTTAGTTGTTTTGGTGTGCCAGTTCAGTCACTTTTATTGTGCAATAAGTGTTTCCACACACAAACTTACACCAGAATAAGTGAATAAGTTTCAGTTTATGTACAGATCGGTTCTTAAATGGCAAGAAAATGGAGAGCAGTTCTAGAAGTAGAAAGAAATGTGATGTTGATTTTTCATGTTCCTTTAAAAATCACATCTTGTTAAGAAAAGGTGATATGCTTATTTCTTAGTCTCTTAGTGAAAAATTTCTAAAAAGTATTTTAAGAAATAAAATTACTGGAAATTATACTCTATTCTGCAGTACTGCTTCAATTTTGGGCCCACATTTTGTGTTGTGAATTGTGGGATGCAGGATTCGATGCCCAAGTTAGTAAAAATGCTGTTGAAAAAAATCAAAGGTAAGTTTGTCTATTGTTAATTTCAAGACCATGACCTCATCTAGGGCACATCTACACAGGAGTGCTAAAGCCAAAATAAGCTACGCAACTAGAGCTACATAAGTTGTGTAGCTTAAGTCAAAATAGCTTATTTCGGCTTTCAGCGCTGTCAACACAGCAGGAAGTCCAAGAAAGCACTCTTCTTCTGACTTCCCTTACTCTTCGTAACTTGAGGCTTACAGGAGTCAGAGGAAGTAGTCCTCCAGCTCAATGTTATTTCGACATTATGTCAAAATAACTACTTGTAGTGTAGATGCAGACTACGTTATTTCGGAATATGTTATTCTGAAATAACACTGCTGTGTAGATATTTCCGCAGTAACCCCAAAGACGCTTTCCATGAATTTGAGAATAGTTGGGTCTGGATCTTAGTCTTTCTTGTGTGATTATGATGTGTGCCTTTTTTTTTTTTTTTTAATCCCAAATCTTAGTTATCTTGGCTCTGTCTTACAAAAGCTTTTTATTTTTCAGAGTTTCTTAAATTTCCTTTTTTTGTTGATTAAAAGAGAAATGTGTTATAAAGAGACCAGCAAATACATTTTTGTACCGTTGCTAATTTTTGTTGTGTGATTGCCTTTTGGTTTCCTTTTTTAATAAGAATTAAAGTCAAATATATTTGATATATAGAAAAAATAATTCAGTACTATATGATGTACATAGATTACACATACAGCATAAGGATGAAAGAATAGGAGGGAAAAATATTTTGTTTCGGAGTAGTAATTGTAGAATAAAAGGGATCAAGAGAAAGTAATGGCTATTACCTCTTTAATATTGTTTTTACTTAATCTTTTGACATTGTTTATACATTTCTCTTAATTGTTATACTTTAGTTAGCTCTTAGCTAAAAATCTTCACTGTCAG